AGTACCGGTCATGGGGCCGGTAGTACCGCTGAGAGCTCATGAGGGGGGTAGTTCCGGCCGAGGAAGGCGGTACTACCGCTGGGAGGTCGGGCGCTGGCTTCTGGAGGTGGACGTCGAAGGAGCCAGCGGTTGTACCGGAGGTCGGGGCGGTTGTTCCGGTCTTTGGGCAGAAACTGGTAGAACCGGTGCTGTACCGGCCTTGCACCGCTTGATCACAGAATGGCGGCCGGTTGTTGGGCGGTGGCTGGCCGGTTGTTCCGCTCAGGCGGTGGTTGGGCGGTTGTACCGGTCCTTCTAGGCTGGGTGGAATGCCTCCTTGATCTTGATGTCCATCTTGCACCACTCCTTCTCCTTGGCTGCTTACATGGTACATGAGCACACAAAGTGTCTCTGTTTGAGGTAGTAGCCATGTCTCAAATGGGTCAAAGGGAAGTTCAACAAGGAGAGAGTTAACCTCGGATTGGATGGAACGTGCTCGGGCTCTTGTCATGGGTCCTCTTGGAGCAAGTGTGGTCGAAGTAGAGTCCATGGGGATGATGGAAGGATGCTCCGCATCACATGGGGAATCACAAACCTTAACATCAATATTCTTACTAAAGCACAATTACTCATCAACATGACCCACATATCATATCGTCCTATCTCAAAACCATTACTAAGAATCAAGTTTATTTTGTCCAATGATCTTCATGAAAGTTTTTATTATATCCTCCTTGGATATCTATCACTTTGGGACTATTTTCATATGTTGCTTTTGATAAGCTCAAACAAATATAAGTGAAGAATATGAGCATAATTTTTTTTCTTTCTCTCAAAATAATCCAAGTGAAGCAAGAGAGAATTTCTGAAAATTTTACTAACTCCCAAACAAATCTAAGTGAAGCATAAGAGCATTTCTTCAAAAATAACAAAGCACACCGTGCTCAAAAAGATATAAGTGAAGCACTAGAGCAAATCCATGGCTCTAAAAATTTAAGTGAAGCATAGGAGCAAGCATAGCATAATTTTTGGCTCTCTTAAAAATGTGTATACAACAAGGATTAAACACTTAGAACATAAAGCAAAACAAGGAAAGACTCATATCATACAAGATGCTCCAAGAAAACTCATAATATGTGACGAATAAAAATATAGCTTTTAGTAAAATACAGATGGTTGTTAGAAGAAAGCGGGAATGCCACTCGGGGGCATACCCAATCTTAGTTGCTTGCTACTTCTTGAATATTATCTTGGGGTTCCTCGGGCATCCCCAAGCTTAGCCTTTTGCTAATCCTTATTCCTTCATCCATCGTAAGATCACCCAAAACTTGAAAACTTCAATCACACGAAACTCAACAAAACCTTCGTGAGATCCCTTAGTATAATAAAGCAAACCACTACTATACGTACTGTTGAAAACCTATTCATATTTTATTTTTGCATTATATATACTGTATTACAACTTTCCTATGGCAAAAACTCATCAAAGAATGCCATAGAATCATCAAAACAAGCACACAACGCAAAGAAAACAGAATATGTCAAAGACAGAACAGTTTGTAGCAATCTGGATATTTCGAATACTTCTATAACTTATTAATCTTCTGCAAAAAGAAACAACTCAAAAGCACATTTCTGTGATTTATGAAAATTATTTTCATGAGTACATAAGTTTCTGTTTTTCAGCAAGATCAAATCAACTTTCACCCAAATCAACCCAAAGGTCTTGCTTGTCACAAACACTAACTTAAAGCACAAAAACACATCTAACCAGAGGTATAATTGGGTATTTTATTGAAAACAACAAGAAAACCAAAATTCAAAAAGATACTGGTTGGGTTGCCTCCCAACAAGCGCTATCGTTTTACGCCCCTAGCTAGGCATAACGCATACGATCTAAGTTTTGTCCTCGGTAATCTTTGCCACTTTAGTAAGGGTCTTTTCAAATCCGGGAGGCTCTTTGCGCTTCCCTAAATTTTCCGGAAAAGAAACCATCTTGAGATCTAAAATATCCAACCGTTTATTGCAAAGGGAAATCAAAGTGTTCATACTATTGATACTACCATTGAGATGTTTGAGAGGTTCATTATATTTTTGCAATTCAACCATATGTTTATGCAAATCACCGAGTTTGTCCAAAATTTGGACCCCCTCTGGGGTGAAAGAAAATCCTTTCTTTTGTGGTGGAACCCCCAAAATTCCCTCTAAAATTTCATAGGCATCATTGACATCAAGCTCGATAAAATTTCCTTTTGTGGCAAAACCCAAGAGTTGTCTATGATGCAAAGCCAATCCTATGTACAAATTTGTAAGCAAAATTTTTGCATCTTCCTTTAGATTGCAAACACGGTTAGACTCCATAAGCCTATACCAAGCATCTTTTAAATTTTCTCCTTGTCTTTGTTTGAAGTATAAAACTTCAAAATCTGGTAACAAAGGAGGAGCATTCAAACTAGCCATAGTGAAGAGAAAACAAGGACACAAATAGATCTGACGAGAAAACGGCGAATGAAAAAGAGGGCGAATAAAATGGCAAATTTTTATGAAGTGGGGGAGAGGAAAACGAGAGGCAAATGGCAAATAATATAAATTGCGAGGAGATGAGATTTGTGATTACGAACCTGGTTGATGTTGAAGATCCTCCGCGGCAACGGCGCCAGAAATTCCTTCTGATGTCTGCTAGAACTATGTCGGCATTTCCCCAAAGAGGAAGGGATGATGCAGTATAGTGACGGTAGGTATTTCCTGCAGTGATAAGACTAAGGTTATCGAACCAGTAGGAGAACCTCCTCACACCATGTAAACAACACCTACACACAAATAACAAATACTCACAACCCTACGCGTAAAAGGGGTTGTCAATCTCTTTCGGGTACGACGCCTCAAGATAGGCAAATAACATGAGGTAAAAGTGGTAGATAGGATAAATAGATCGCGGAACAAATAAATTGCAGCAAGGTACTTTTGTATTTTTGGTTTAATAGATCTGAAAATAAATGCAAAGGAAAATAGATCGCAAAGGCAAATGATGAAAAGAGACCTGGGGGCGTAGGTTTCACTAGTGGCTTCTCTCGAGAAAAATAGCAAACAATGGGAAAACAATTACTGTTGGGCAATTGATAGGACTTCAAATAATCATGACGATATCCAGGCAATGATCATTACATAGGCATCACGTCCAAGATTAGTAGACCGACTCCTGCCTGCATCCACTACTATTACTCCACACATCGACCGATATCCAGCATGCATCCAGTGTATTAAGTTCATGGAGAAACAGAATAATGCAATAAGAACGATGACATGATGTAGACAAGATCTATTTATGTAGAAATAGACCCCATCTTGTTATCCTTAATAGCAACGATGCATACATGTCGTTTCCCTTTCTGTCACTGGGATCATGCACCGTAAGATCGAACCCATCACAAAGCACCTCTTCCCATTACAAGATAGATAGATCATGTTGGCCAAACAAAACCCAAATATCGAAGAAGAAACACGAGGCTATAATCAATCATGAATATAAGAGATCAAAGAAGACTCAAATAACTTTCATGGATAAAAACATAGATCTGATCATAAACTCAAGGTTCATCGGATCCCAACAAACACACGCAAAAAGACCTACATCATATGGATCTCCAAGAGACCATTGTATTGATAATCAAGAGAGAGGGGGAGAGAGAGAGAGAAAGAGAGTGTGTGTGTGAGAGAGAGAGGAAGCCATCTAGGGACCCGTAGGTCTACAAAGAACTACTCACGCATCATTGGAGAGGCACCAATGGACATGATGCACCCCTCCGAGATGGTGTCTAGATTGGATCTGATGTTTCTGGACTCTGCGGCGGTTGGAATTGATTTTCGCCGACCCCTCTAGGGTTTCTGGAATATTGGGGTATTTATAAAGCAAAGAGGCGGTTCAGGGGGCACCCGAGGTGGGCACAACCCACCGGGGCGCGCCTGGGCCCCCAAGCGCGCCTTGGTGGGTAGTGCTCTCCTCGGAGCACCCCCAGGTGCTTTTCTGGCCCACTAGATGTCTTCTGGCCCAAAAAAATCCTCAAAAAGTTTTGTTGCGTTTGGACTCCGTTTGATATTGATTTCCTGCGATGTAAAAACATGCAGAAAACAGCAACTGACACTGGGCACTATGTCAATAGGTTAGTATCAAAAAATGATATAAAATGACTCTAAAACATCCAAGAATGATAATATAACAGCATGGAACAACCAAAAATTATAGATACGTTGGAGACGTATCACTTGGTGCTGCCCGGTTGCCACGGCCGTGTGAGCGGCGTGGTAGCTGGGGTGTGGCATTCGGTGGCGGTGAGTGATGGCCGGGGTGAAAATCTGCTCTTTCTTTGGACGGACCGGCGGCGGCGAAGCTCGTTCCCTTCTTGAAGGCGTCGTCGCGGCTCTCGTTGCCGGTCATGTTGCTCAAGGGAAAACTCTGATCGTTGGATCAGACGGTGGCGGTGCCCCAGTCGTCCCCTTCCTGAAGGCACCATCTTGGAGCCCACGGTTCGTCATATGCGGCTTTACTTCTTCACGGTGACGTGTTCACAACTGTATCCCCCGACTGCTCTTGTAGTGCTAGGGATGGTGTTGCTGCGCACAGCGCCTATGTATCCTGCCTTGGGTGTGTGTGCATGTATTGTGGGGGCGTGCGTTTGTACCGGATGTTGTTGATCATTGCTTTATATATAAAGCAGGGCGAAAGCCTTTTTGATAAGATGGTAGCGATATGGGATTAAAGATTTGCACCACGTCTTACCATTTATTCATAGGCTTTTGGAATTTCTGGAAATGCACATGGTCAAACCCATTAATTCTAACAAGTTCATCCGGATCACAGGCATAGATGTTCCGTTGGTGAATCCAACTACTACTGGCTCTTCCTCAACTTGAGGTTCCCTTTAGGCATCTTGCTCAAGACGCCCTTGTCAAGCTTCTGGTACTGACTCCCAATCAAGCCAAGCATGTTGTACAGCACCTCATCGACTTGATCATGATACCTCTCATAGAACACTGGTAGAGTGTGTGCACACACAAACCCTGCAACAGAGCACTAGTGTAAATGGTAGTCAGAAACCAAGAAAATATCCAGGTGTTAATCCCTCCTCAACATATTATCAAGTGAAATCATGGTTGTTACCGATGTAGATGACGGTGATGAGACTGAACCAGCTCCCGATGAAAGCGGTGACAATGAACCCGGCGATCACCTGAAAGAAAAAAAAAATCAAGCCTGGTCTGGTACACTACATGTCTGGAAGTGCTCATAGGAGAGGACAAACTGACAGGACGGATTTCATCTCATAGGCATTAAGCTTAAGGCGCAACATACCATGAGGAACTGCTTCAGGTCTCTTCCACAGGACACATCCTGAAGGCTTCCCAAGAATTTGTTCACCTGGGCGCCGACAGCTGCGCCGATGTTTGCAAACAGCTCTTCTGGTAACTCCACACGGGGCACATTAGAAGGAGACCTGAAAACATAAAATGCTTGCTTATGATTATGCTGCCTACCAAAGTTCAGGTATCGACAGCAAATATAGAAAACAAAAACTGCAGAATTGGTTGGAGTTTTTGTATTGTTGCATAGTGTATACCCATTGAGCATGCCTGCGAAGCTGGACCATCCGAACTGGACAACCATGCCAAGAACAAGCACAAATGATACGATGGTCAAGAAATGGTAGTCGAGCCACTCGAAGAAGACCCAGGCAGCTGTTGCAACAGCAAGAACGCTCGATGAGATCTTCTTGTTCCTCCACAGTAGCACATCAGCGGCTGCGGCCAGTCATTGTCGTCGCGAGGAAGGAAGCGACATATCATCAGCAACTCCGTGTGGACCGAATCAAATTAATAAGAGGGAGATAAAAGTATAAGAGGTCCGGACATTCTCCACCGCCGAGGATGTGGTGAACAGACTTGTGGCCGCCGAAGAGCTTCTTGGCTTGGCCGGAAATGGAGCCCTCATCGTCGAACCTGACAGACTTTTGCTTGGGGAGCTTGTCGGCAATGGCGTCCATGATGCCGCTCATCATGTTCTCTGCCGCATTCTCAGAGTGCTCTGCCATCCTTCCACACCCTTGAAAATACAATTGTTGGTTAGCATAAAACGCGAGCAACTCAAGCTTCATATTCATTTTCAACATGAATATACTACGATGTCTCCTTAGTGCCCTTCTCAGAACTGCTAGCTGTGAGTGAATCAGATCATTCAAGTAGATCAATAATTTGCTAGTATAATTAATATGTAAATAATCTTGGTGAAGAACCTTCAAGTATAATTTGTTTATAAACTAAAAAAGGACTGCAAGATGATTGGACTGATCAAACTAAGGCATGCCCATATCATATGGTCTGAGTCTCCAATCATCTGAAACTTTGAAGAAGTTAAAGGCTCCATTTTGTCTAAAATAACTAATCCAGTTTTCTAAGCACGGAAAAGGCAAGGCAAGGTCGACAAACATAAAAAGAAGGGGAAAATAGCACAAGCTGTGAGAGATGAATTTACCAAGCAAAAGAGGAATCAGTAGGCAACTAAAGCTGCTGATCTTCCGGCCAACTGATCCCAAGAAGCAGGCGTCGGAGAGGTACCAATCAGACAAGAGGGGAAAGTTGGGAACTGTCAGGAGGAGAAAAGGAATTCTTAAGAGCAACTAGTTTGTTGAAAGAAAGGGATAGGTGGGCCAGTGAGCTTGTCGAAAGGGATAGGTGGGCCAGTGGGCTTGTCGTAATTGGGCTGTGGGCCAATGCCATATTAGAGCAATAAGTGTGAACCAACAATTGGGTTTGTCGTCATCAGTAGTATTGTAGTGGCCTGGAGATTCCTTACCTAAAAATAGCCTCGAAATTTTCATAAGAAAAACAAAGTTACCTTAACCATGTAACTTTTTTGAGGGAAAAACTATGTCTTGTACTCAAAGTTCTCTCAGAAAAAGAACTACTCTTTTGGATCCATATTAATTGATGCTGATCTAGTAGTACAAAAGTAAGAAAACTTGAAAGATATTTACTGGTTCGTGGTCATGCCGTTACCAAACACCACAGCACGTAATATCAGCACCATGCAGTCTACATTGTTTTATCTAGATCAGAACATGATGGTTTTCTACTTCCGAGAAAAAATATTTCCTCAAAAAGGTCAATGACAACTATGCATCTTGTCTGGAGCTCAACTCGGTTGAATGGTGTGGAACGATCCAACATTTCGAATGCAACAGTTTCAGACAAGGTAATTCCAGCAGGTTTTCTAGAAAAATTATCCACGCTCGAAGCATAGGTAATGAATGTTGTGTACTACCCCGCAAAAAAAATGAATGTTATGTACTGCCTGACTTCATACATTGTGATGTTGTAGTGCGTGACATGTGCTTACTTTTTTTTTCCTTTTTTGCGGGGAAACTGTATTTACATTACAGACCTCGCGACACAACTGAGAATATTACAAGCTGGTTGTGCGCAAGTGCATCCCAACAGTTGGTTATTGGGAATTGTGTGCAGAATGGGATGAAATTGCTCGGACCAAGAAACAATCATCGCTTCTGATCTCAAAATCAGGTTCTTACTTTTTCAGATTCTAACCTCCAGGCCTACGGATCCGAGAAAATGTGCCGGTCTCCGAGAAGTAGGTGCTCTGGATTCCACTTCCAAGAAGGTTCCCGTGTGCCTGTGGGTTTGACAGTTCTATTCCCTGCAAGTGGAAAGTAAGGTATATGAGAAAGATGGAGTGATGCCAGAGATTTCATGTGGTTAACCTCTTTAAAAATAACAAAATAGGACAATCCAACTAACTGAAACCGTATAATGGCGCCAAAGATGCATACAGCCTACTGATTACCATCTATACAGAAGGTGCTAAATGTATAAAAGCATGGTCCAAACTAACAGCAGCCATACAGCACCCGGTTTACAAGAAAGAAAAAAGAATATGTAATGCTGGCATATTTATGTACACTTGTACAGTATAGCAAAATATATTGTTCATGATGACTTCACTCACATAAGCAAAAAAGGACTTTCTGGTGCAGCAAAAAGACAAAAACAATGGATGCAATGCCTTTTCCGACTCCTCAACATGAGCAAGTCAAACAATAACTAAGCAAATACAAGATAAAAAAATTACATAGCAATCTAGAGTATCAGTCATGATCCCATGTTAAACAACTGGATTGACTAAAGATCATGCATAACATTAATTACCTATCTTATTAAAGTGAACCAGGGAAAAATAAACTCACCTGAACTGGTGTAAAGGCCAAACTAGATGTCAGTCCAGATGTTGCACCACTCCTACCATAACTCTTCTCCTTGAATCTAATATTAGAAAGTAATGAGGAATCAAAGAGAGATTGCAGTGCGTGATATCAAGAAAGTGGTCATGAATTGAAATAGAAACAGCAATTTCAAGATAATTACGAGAGTTACAGTAGCATAAGGATTGCCTGCAAGGCTGCTAGAACTGGTACAGGGTGCAAATAATCCGTAACATAAAAATGTGTGCAAACACCTAAATGATGTAAGGTTTGTGCAGGGAAACATTAAACTTGTGTTGAATTTAGAAACAGTCAAACAGAAAACATTACACTGCAAGTTATACCGTGTTTTTTGGAGTAAAAGTGCAGAAGACCTCTATTGCCAAGCTATTAGTAGTGATGTGCTTTATGCTTTAACACCAAATGGCAAGGAACAGAAAGGAACAAAATAAGATACTGTGGGAAGAATAAAGAAGGCATACTTTTTGTCCACTTTAGCAGAGAATTTGTTCTGTGCAGCTGAGACACGTAGCTTCCCACTTCCGGCCTGCCCGAGCATGCCATAACCTTCCCCCAAACCATCACCTTGTGATAACAAGATGTGATCATGTCAATATTAAAGTAAAGTGTAGCTAAACTAACTACTCCCTCCGATCCAAATTACTTGTCGCTCAAACGGATGTATCTATCTAGCACTGAAATACATCTAGATACATCCATTTGAGTGAGACAAGTAATATGGATCGGAGGGAGTAACAGAATGTTATTCCAACCATACTGTCAAAACCAACTGAACTAATGAGCTCTCCTCTGGTATTCCAAACTGCATTCGGTTTGCAAGCTTCATCATATCAGTTACCGCATATCTGCAGAACCAAGTTCCGAAGTCATGACAAGATACCATGTTGTATATGTGATGAATCAAGTTTCAGCACAGAATGCAAATAAGTAGTTCAAGAAACAAATAAGCATGAAGCTGTTCAACATATATATAACAACAACAAAGCCTTTAGTCCCAAACAAGTTGGGGTAGGCTAGAGGTGAAACCCATAAGATCTCGCAACCAACTCATGGCTCTGGCACATGGATAGCAAGCTTCCACGCACCCCTGTCCATATATATAGGGAAAATAGATTCTACCATCTAGTGGTAGTTACCTCTATCTTAGAAGCCGTCCGATTGCATTAGATCCGTGCAGTTCCTAACAGGTATGGGCAAAACAAAGTTCCACCCTATACCTTCCGATTTGTTGGGCGTCAGCTATCTTCCTATTTTTTGGGCGTTATCCCCATACATCGCTATATATCCTCGTTCTCTCTCCTAAGCACGCTCTCTCTCTCTCCTTGTTTCACGGAATCAGAAGCTTCATGAGACAAATCTGAATCAATCAGGAACGGTAATTCATGGGAAAAGGAGGTATGCATCCACGCATGCTTTTGTGATTTCTGCGGATGCATCATGCAAACTGATTGCTTCGTGTTCCTAATTCCATTGGTAGTGCTTATCTAATAATCTATACGTTCTGTAGGCTGATCGTTGATGTATCTTTTGCCCAGTTGCATGCAAGTGCCCACCGCAGCGGCGGCGGCGATGGCATGTACAGGTGCATATGTCCAACCGTTTGACTGCTCCAGCCCAGCATGACGACGACTACGTACGACATCCCATGGGTGACTGCTCCGACGGCGGCCACGGCGACGAAGATAAACTTAGCACATTCCACCTGGCGGCCCCATGATGACGAACAACCGCGGACGGCTGACGGGTGACTCTTCTAATATCGTGGGCGGCGGCAACAGCGACAAAACGACTGCACACGGCCGACCGACTCCTCCTCCGGCTTCAGCGCCCGTCAAGGACTTGCATGTACTATATACTCCATACTCAGATGTGTATATCAAGCCGATTATGGAGTTATGTCTGTGTATACGTGCATGCTAATGCATGCATCACCACCAGTCAATGAATCTGCCTGTTCAAATTCTTCTGGCTAGTATATGCAACTGCGTGAAGGATATGTACATAGATATTCATTCTGCACTGCAAATGCACGCATTTTTGTTCAAAATATATTCTACCTGGTCATGTGGAGAGAACAGAACAAATACCATCCTTCACTATCTGTAAATATCTACAGGTTATTTCTATATTTGGAGTATGTAGTCTTTCTTGTAGGAGATGCTTCATACTATATTCGTTATGAAATACTCCTATCAGATACTCCATTCTTCGTGAAATACCATATACTCCATACTACTTTCTTAATACTCCATACTACCTTTTCCATATATACTACATACTACAGATTTCATATATATTTTTTTTCAAAACTATCATGTTTTTTGTAGCAATTTCGGAAACTATAGGACGTAATGCAAAAAAACCAAAACTAGTAGCCCGTCGGCCATTCTTTGGCCGAAGTAGTACTTTTCGGCCACAGCTAGGCCGAAATAGTACTTTTCGGCCACAGCTAGGCCGAAGCAGTACTTTTCGGCCAGAGCTAGGCCGAAGTAGTACTTTTTGGCCAGAGCTAGGCCAAAGTAGTACTTTTCGGCCACACTTAGACCGAAATAGACTTTTTGGTCAAGTCTAGGCCGAAAAGTCACTTTTTGGTCATCCCTAGGCCGAAGTTGCATGGCTCATGCTGAATTGTATTTTGTTGCCACCCGTTTCCCGCCCACCCCTTCCCGCCACCCGTTTCCCGCCAACCCCTTCCCGCCTTATTTTCCCGTCAATCCGTTCCCGCCTTATTTTCCCGCCAATCCCTTCCCGCCTTATTTGCCCGCCAATCC